AACCAAATTTGATGTGTATTTTCAGGACACAAATGCCTTGATGGAAACGGAATCTGTGTTACGATTCTTTACAGAGTTATGGCCCTTGTCATGTATTTCTTGACTTGGTGTACGTTATCCCCAATGGGAACAGATTTTCTCAGTAACCGTTATAGACAGGGAAACCATATATTGTATATGTCTTCAGGACATGAATGTCATGGGGGAGTTAAAAAACAGGAAACGTGTGGCGGGGAATATGGACGACCATATCTTCTTGTTTTGGTTGTATCATTTTTCTCCCCCGCAACGCGTTTTGCGGGGGGGTATTAAAATGGACTCCGTCCGTGCGTGCGTCCATCCGTCCGTCTGCACATTTGTCTTTTCCGGAGCGGAACTCTAAAACCGTTCAATATTTCTTCACCAAACTTGGCACATACGTGGTGTACTGGTGCCTTTTGGTAGTTTTGGATTTCTGAATAAAATAGTTTTGGCATTTCCATGGCAACAAGTTTGATTTAGACTGAAATTGGTGATAGTGCTCCTTTCTGGAGCAGAACTTTAAAAACCTTTCAATACTCTCCTCCCACTTTTCTATATACACACTTAAATATTTTACATAATCATAACTCGTAGACATAATCATGAAGAGTATTTTGCCATTGCAAGGTATATTGATGACTTTGTCTTCTTGTTTCTAGTTGCAAACTGCAGCGATCATAGGCATATCCCCAATTACGATTTCTTCCAATTTCTGAATCGTCCTCTTAAAACTTGGTTTGTCATATGAACTTATTCATACCAAGGCATAGAGTTTTATCCATGCCTTTTAATGCTTCTATAGCTGTGATTAGAAAAACTGGTGAACGTCTGGCGATGTTTAGAAGGCAATTTGTTTTTGAAAAGGGAAGAGAATTGGGTAACTGCTGGAAAGGGAATTGACCGAACGAGGAAAGAAGCAATTGTTCGACCATTGGGATAAATAGGGATGCTAGACTGAGGTTGTTACCGTTAATAGTCCTGGGACTGAACATTGTCATGCCATCCCCTCATCAACACATACACCATGGTTGGTGTAGACTCAGAAAATGGTTCTCTTGGACTCAGGGAGAAACAGGGGATGATTTTAGAATGTCAGCCCTTAACTGATAGTCCACATTATGTTGTCTAGTTTGCATTATCGCCTGCACCTTGACAGTCTACAGATATGAGTGGAACTTTTGCATTGAGGTCTCAATCAGGGCTGGCTTTGGATACAGATCATAAAGATTGATGATCATTAACTAGTATTGATCAGTTATTGATAATTATCGGAAAAGTATCTTTGAGCTAAAATAAAAAAATGGTCTGAAAGAAATCAATATGTTTCATGTTATTTCAGTGGTGACACATTTATGCATGGATTAGTGACAAAAACAGTATTTTGAATATTATTTATAAGTTTCCTATTACTTAAGACGTAACTGTGTGCATTGTGTATGTAAAGTAAACCTTATTTCATCACAGTGCATGTAAGATATTATTGATGACACAACTTTCAATTTGATAATCATTAATAATTCTTCTGATCGCTGATAGTATCAATCACTTTAGAAGCATGATGAAACTGCAATAATTAGAAAAGACAGAATATGTATTGATTTCATGCTAAAATACTGTAATGTTCAGGTGTGTCAGAAACATATTACTCACAGCTTTTGTGTTTTTTATATGCAATTTATCTTGCAACTTATTTCAACACGTATGACCAAACTTAGTATAATGTTATCTGGCATGTTCATACTGTTTAGCCCGTAAACTGAAGTTTCACACTGCAGTAAAGTCAATTCTTGAATGAACTTGATTGATAATTTCTGAATGAAGAATTTTTCAATTTTAACTGGCACAATACTACAAAATGTAGTGATGACCTGAGAACAGTCAAGCTTACCAACATGTCAATATTCCTGGTAGTTGTAAATCTTTGCATTCAAATAATATGTGAGAACTGAAATTCTGCTCTTTTTTGTGCCTGATGCAAACATTTGAAATCCTGCACAACATGCACTCTTGATATGATTCTAGGATCATGATGATTGTGGTGCTGATGACATCATCATCACCATCATCATCATCATCGTTAACAGTACCAAATCCAATATCCCAACCTGAGCCTCTGCCACTTCACTACCATGGATTGAAATGTATAGACTCAGGGCTCCAGATAAGGGCCGTATCGGCGTATGTTCGGATATAAAATAAGCAGGATACGGTAGGAAATAATTTAGAAAACTTAGCAAATACACACTACAGCAATGGTGTATGGTCTTAGAATCACTTGCAGATGTATTTATATGAAAAAGTATTGTTTTATTGTTCACTGACCTGTTTACACAAGAGTAGCAATGTTGTGGTGCATATATTGAAAGTGTTCCTTCCGTTCCCCAACCCTACCCTAACCCTAACTTAAATTATGGACTTTTAGTCATTTTGTGAGTTCTCTAGTAATTGTTGTGTTAAGTTTTGTTAATGATTTTAGTATATTTATAAATATTATTTGGTATAGGGGAACGGGAGGAACTCTTACCCATATATGAAACGAAACACAAGATTACTGGTACTCCATTAAATTCCATTAAGTACTCTAAATGTACTCTTAAGTCTTTCAAGTACGCCTGCATTGAAAAAGTAAGGAGTACATATTCCTGATGTTGAAAATTTTATCTGGAGGCCTGAGACTATTATAAGATTAGATTAAGGGAAGCCTCAGGAAACTCGAGTTACAGACCACTGTCTGAAGTAAGTGTAAGGAGTACAGTCTGTCTGACTGACAAGGTCATCATGGATGCCCTACTCTAGGTCATGTAGCAGTTCATCTTTAAGCACTTCAGGAGAGCTTAATGAATAAGGTTACTCATCATTTTGGCACTTGACTGTAATCTATATATTTACCAAAAAGATTCCAGATCTCAAGGATAACGATTAATATTGTGATTGAGCAGCCAATAACCAACTAACAAACACAGCTGTCCGTAATGAAGGCACCCACAAAATAATCGTTAGTTCAAGATTGGCTTTTTCTGGCTTAAATAGACTTAGTTTCCACTTGAGACATGGTCGCTTTTCGACGTCTTCCATGGAGATAATTCAGCATAAAGGCCAGGTTGGGAGCGGCTGTTCTTCTCGGTAAATCAAGAGGAAGGTACTGGTCTGTCTGTGTGTATCCTTGGACTTTGCATAACTTGGATGGCTGTTCCATAGATTATGTCTGAAAGCCTCTGATGGAGGATGTCTGAGCCTAGTTTACAATGAAGTAACATACATGATTTAACTTTATCTAGAGAGATTGGAAAATATGGAACCTTGTCTCTTGGGAATTTGGATGGGTAGAGGATGGTGGTTTATCTATCATGGTAGTTCCAGTATGTGTCATCAGTGCTGGTTGTATTCCAGGCAGGGTGAGCATACAGACTGTTGCACTAGTCAAATATATACACATGTTTGCATGTTGTGCTTATGAATGCGTCAAAAGCTTTTGATGTCCAATCATCATGACTGGAAGAACAAAATTGTATTTTTCAGAAGCAGTTTTGATCCATCATGATAATCGGTACATAAGCCTAGTGGTTAAACCGGGTACAATGTGTAAAGCCCATTTCAAAGACCCACGCCATGATATTGCAATATCTCCACATGGGTACAATGTGTGAAGCCTGTGATTTCTGGTGTTACAGGAAACACAACCTTTCTGATATTGCTGGAATATTGCTAAGAGCAGTGTAATACCCAACTCACTTATTGTATTGTCTGAAGTGAATCATTGGCTGTGAGTTATGTCCCTTTATTCTAGGCCTATGTTTTTTATAAACAGCCTAACCCTAAAATCTAACCCCAAACCTACATTATGTACAATAATAAAAAAAGCCTGTAACCCCAGTTTTTTGCATTCTAAGCCTAAGATCTATAGTAAGAATAGATTTTTTTTTATAGAAAGCCTACCCTAACCCTCAACCTAACATAATGCTAAATCTAAACCTAAACCTAAACCCTAACCCCTTGAAATAATCATAATAAACAGAATACATTTCAAGCGGGGGTTACAGGCGGAACTCTTACCTTTTACATTATGTACAATAATAAAAAAGCAAGTATTAGTGAGATCAGGTAAAAAGTCTTACTTCTTGATGAAATCATGTTCCATATTCCAATAAGATCCACTGAACATCAACACAAAAGTCCATCATACGAATTATGAAACAAAAGTACTGGATTCACATAATGCTGAATGGCATATTCAGTTTAAGCTGCATTCCCTGTCGACATGGCTCATCCCTTCACAACACTCTCAAACAGGGAACTGAACAGTTTGTGTTCAACTAGCTTGTACAAGACAAAACCCAAGCTACAATTATGTAATCCCCTTTGTTGTGTACTTACCCCAGCTGGAACATAGACAATGGAAGTTGTGTCCTTATTAAACAGAGCATCAGTGTTAATCACAGTCTCCACACATGTAACATAATTTATATATCGAAAGGATGAATATACTTTTTTAGGAAAGATAAATATAGTTGATATTCAGTTCATGGAAAATAAATACATGTAGTTAGATTCTCATAACATTTGATTCAGTGAAGTGCCAAGACATGTGTTGCATTTGGATTTTCCTTCAACATAAAGCTGTCACCATGGAGTCCAGCTCATTCAGATTTGCCATTATGCATTCTTAAAAAAATACTTGAAAGACTCAAGTAGGATTATTTTGCATATTCATATCAAATGTTAGATGTCCATCCGAATCATGATAGGGGCGGTGCAGTTGCCTAGTGGTTAAAGTGTCTGCTCGTCACGCTGAAGACCCGGGTTCGATTCCCCACATTGGTACAATGTGAAGCCCATTTCTGCTGTCCCCGCCGTGATGTTGCTGGAATATTGATAAAAGCAGCGTAAAAACATACTCACTCACTCACTCACTCACTCACTCACTCACTCGACCGGAGACCTCACAACACATTCACCAACTCATTTGTTTGTGTTCACAGGCAGAGATATGGAGTGTGTTCACAGCTACTCTGAAGAAGAGCCGTCGAAACCTACACGCATGTACAGAGGTGGGCCTGATCGGCCGGGTGCTAGAACTGCTGGAGAGTTCAGATGACATGGTAGCAGGTGGGTGACCTACAACTCCTTACACTGGCCCTTTAGACAGGCAGGAAGGATAACGCCATAATGAGTAGCAAGACTCGGCGCCGCATTGTCTAATGACTCCAAGTCTTGCCATATTCGCATAATGGGAATGGAAGAGCATGCATAGAATCGTGTAATTGATCTATATGACCTTCTGAAATGTTGCACATCCACATATAAAGAAAAAGAAAGCATGACTGAAGACCCTTACTGTAGAACCTCTTTCTAATGAACCCTTTCCCAATTGTTGAGGCATTTTTTCCTCCCCAACTGGAGTTATTTTGAGACATCCTGAAATTAGATGGACTTTTTCATTTATTTTAGCTTTTGGCAATGGAATCCTGTATCCTTGATGCTTCCCAGAAACTTTTTATTCTGTCTCCTCCAATTATTTTGCTTGTATACTTAATACACATCAATATTTGAAAACAGAATTGAAATTGATATGTAATACATACCATAAATTCATAATAATCATCCTGGAAGTTCATAACCAATGTTTTCCCTACCTTCATACTGATTTCTTTCAGTCATCCGACAGAACTTTCTTTTTAATATCCTAGAATTATTTCGTTTAATTTTGCAAATATTTTCTAGTCATATTAGTTACACATTGATTAGATTTAAGTTGGGTGCTTTTGTATAACCACTTTAATGTCCTTCCAATGCCATGAGCTGACCCAGATACAACCATCTTCATTTTGATGTTTCTATTTTCATCTCTCTATGCGTTCCCCAGGCATCAGTGGTAAGTGTATGCCGACAGTTCTAGGTCCATTCTTCCGTCTCTCCCTGTCCATTGTAACTTAATCTACCACATTCTGCTTCATGACATCTCTTCAGCACTTCTCTGCTCAGTTGCTTAAGTCTAGGCCCACGTGCACAAAACAATCTTAGCATTAGCATCATGACTTGAAATGGTCATCATTGTCATGCTCAAGACTGTTTTGTAGAAAGCCTACTGGTATGAATGTTATAATGTTAAGACTGTAGTATAAGTTATTCCTTTGTACTGTTATACAGACAGGCCAGGTGTGTCAAGACAGGTATGTCAAGCCAAGTGTAATAATGTACACAGTGTGTCAGATCTCAGGCAAACAGACATGTGTAAAGCCAGGTGTGTCAAGCCAGGTGTCATGCTGCATATGTTGAGACAGTTTGTGTAGTCTCCTTCTGACAGACCAGGTGTGTCAAGCAAGGTATCATCCTGCCTATATTGAGACAGTTTGCACAGTCACCTGCTGACAGACCAGGTGTGTCAAGCCAGGTATCATCCTGCCTATATTGAGACAGTTTGCACAGTCACCTGCTGACAGACCAGGTGTGTCAAGCCAGGTATCATCCTGCCTATATTGAGACAGTTTGCACAGTCACCTGCTGACAGACCAAGTGTGTCAAGCCAGGTGTCATGCTGCATATATTGAGACAGTTTGTGTAGTCTCCTTCTGGCAGACCAGGTGTGTCAAGCCAGGTGTCAGCCTGCCTATATTGAAACACAGTATGTACCGTCTCCTGTGTCAAGCCAGGTGTCATCCTGCATATATTGACACTGCACAGTATGAGACAGACAGATGGTCCCAGATGGTCCCATCCTGCCATATTGAGACAGTTTGTTAGATCTGGGCTAGAATAGGTCTTTAGCAAGCCAGGTGCATGCTGCATATATTGAGACAGTTATCTTGTCGTAAGAGGTGACTAACGCATATATTGAGACAGTTTGTATAGGTGGTCAGTTTCAAGCCAGGTGTCTTGGTTGCATATATTGAGACAGTTTGTTCCCAATTACTGCAGATCAGGTGCTCAAGCCAGGTGTCACTGCATATATTGAGACACAGTTAGTATGTCCAGACTCGATTGTTACAGACCAGCTGCATATAGCTGGGATATACATGCTGAGTCAAGCTTAAAACTAAACATTGACTCTGCTCAGTATCAGACAGATGGTCCCTGGCCATGCTGACACAGTGTATCTCAAACAGCTCTTGGTGTTCCCATGGAGTGGAAAGTATCAAGCTGCATACCATTCACATTAATCCATGTTATCAAATAATATTCCTAATGACAATCTTAACGCTAGAATTGATTTATGCAAGTGGGCCCTGACAATATAATGGAGACTGCCTTAGGCCATTTTCTGAACATTAGGATGGCCCATGCATTTCTTGCACTTGATTGCATCATTGCTTCATAGCTAGATAGATTTATTAGTTGTGACCCATACATGGCCACACGGTGGCCCCTTGCTTTTGCTTCATAGAGACAGTCGTTAGTAAGGTGTGGTGATAGCAATGATATTGGATCACAGAGTGTAGCACAGTCATCCTAAACGAAGTTAATGGTTAACAGTATTTCATCCTTCTCACAGAAGTAGAGATCTGACAGATACCCAGTTAGCTGAGCAGAGGTTGGGTAAAGATGACTTGCACTAGGTCAAGGACTTGAACACTTGACAAGGGGAGATAACTCACATCTCCATTTCATGGGGCCATTTTGGCTTCTCATCAGTCACCTCGAAATGTGATATTAAATAATTTAACTTTATGTCATTGATTACCACCGAATAAATAAGAGAGTGTATTCGCTTTACTGAGTTATGCCCCTTAGATGACATATACGTTGAGGTTAATTTGCTTCGTCTGTCAGCACCATTCCCATGCTCATGGGTTTCAAACTAAAAATGTCTACAATCTGCATCACTCCAGGCTTCCCTCCCACATTACACAGACCTGCTGTGATACAACTGAAATGTTGTTCAAAGCAGCAAGAAACGCGACTCACTCTTTCCATGCTATTATCACCACACCTCATCTCAAGTGTGCCCCATGTATCTGATACCACAGCCTTTCAAAGTGCACTGGACATTAGAAATCTTAATTCGGAATCCATTTCACAAAGTGATCATAGCAGTAAAACTGTCGTAAGTCTGTGTTAAAGTATAGAAGTTATGATGGCCGTAACAGTAAGACAGTCGTAATATGGTGGCAGCAGCGTAAGATTGTCGTAAGTAATATAGGAGTTACGATGGTCATAGATCTATAACTGTCGTAAGTCTGTATTAAAGTACAGGAGTTACGATGGTCATAGCTCTACGACTGTCGTAAGTCTGTATTAAAAGTACAGGAGTTACGATGATCATAGCTCTATAACTGTCGTAAGTCTGTATTAAAGTACAGGAGTTACGATGGTCATAGCTCTACGACTGTCGTAAGTCTGTATTAAAAGTATAGGAGTTACGATGGTCATAGCTCTACGACGGTCGTAAGTCTGTGTTAAAGAATACGACTTACCATGGTCACTACCATCGTAAGTCTGAGTTATGATAGTCACAGGTCTGCATCACTTTGTGAAAGGGAACAGGCTAGGCCTACTGAATCCAATATGATGTTGCCATTAAAAGATCCATATACAGAGTCATGTACCTTGCTCTGGTCTCTAACGTTAATGAGAACCACTATGGCAAGATTTAATCACAGAAGTGCTGAAGTGTTGTTTTAGCGGGAATATGGTACGCATGCTTTTTCCTTGTTCTAATCTCGACCAGTATGTCAAACAAGCTATGTTCAAGAACCAATATATGAAAATAACATGTTCTACTCTTAAATATTTAGTATCAGTTAATTATCAGCATGTAGCCTATTTTACATAGGAATAAATATACTTTGACTCCTTGCAATGTGTAAAGTTTTGATCACATTTTTAAAAAGACACATCAAAAGGATCACATGTGTAACTCACTGCAAAACAGTAACATTTATTTTGTAACAATTTTTATTTTGTCACTAATCTCTAGATGTATGGATCTTTTCTGTGTTAAAGCACTTTCAAGTCAGTGACAATTTCAGCCTATTGTAACCAACAATTATTCAAAACAATTAGGCAAATGCAAAGAAAATCGAATTGCTTCATTGTAATGACAACAGGCTACATGCTTTTAGACTATATATTCCATGTGATGATCAATATTCATTAACACTATATTTGTATTCCACTCATGGAACAAACCTCATAGAACCATAGCACAATATTTGAAATACTTCCAGGTGGGAACCCATGTTCTAATGAACAAATAATAGTATTGTTCTGATGAAAGCTCGATTAAACAAGGTTATTTTTTGTATGTTTACCCCTCCATGCCTAAACTGCTTGGGATGTTCATTGTGCAATAATCCCTCCAAACCATTGGCGCCATGTTTGGCTACTTGCTTGTTTTAGGTTGAATGCAACAGCTTATAAATGAGCATTATGTTTTAGGTTTCAGCTCTAATTTGAAGCAAATTTTGACTATTTCAGTCATTTGAATGACAGTGTTGTGATGTGGATTTTCTGTGTTGGCATTAAGATGATACAGCCATCTGTCATGTTAATGCTAATGATATTAAGACAGGAATGCATGAATATTCCATTTTAACTGTTCCTGATTATTCAGTTTTAACATGAAGTTAGTGCATGATATATTCAGATTAACATTTATTAATGCCTGTCCTCGTAGCAGTTCAAATCTTGTGATGTCGTGCTGTATGTGATACCAGCATGCCAATGTAACAATGTTTTATCATTGTGACTTGATCCCAACATTGCATGTGAACAATATGTGGTTTACAGTCAAATACTTCCTTATACTACATTGTGATTTTACCATTTATATCAGAATATATTATCTATTATGAAACTTCATAATGATTCTACAGTTCAGATTTCTTTGAACAAGATGAGATCTTTTGGTTATTACAGAGCATAACATTAAAAGGAGCCTTGTGTGAAATTCCAGAATTGATATCATTATCAAGACCCTGTGATATTACAATTGTGAATGTAATCATGTGTGAAAAATGACTATTTTAAAGAAAAATTGATTTTGATGGAGAGGTGTTAAACATTCTCACATCTAATTGATTTGCAAGAAGATTGTTCGTATGACTGATGATGCAAGGTGCTCACAAAATGGTATGTTGTGTATAGTGTTTAAAGATGAGCGCATATCT